ATTTCAATACGATGGGAAAAATTCGATTTAGCTGTCCACATCGCTCCAACACGGAAAAGTTGACCCATAACAATTAGTCCCAGACCAATCCACATGAAAAATTGAATAAATTTCGCACTTGGAAAAAAGTAAGCTTCAACCCAATATTCAGCCCAACTCGTAAATAGAGCAATTTGGTAAGCATCGCTATGATTCAATAAAAATGCTACAATATATAAGTTCAATACACAAATAACACTTACATTCATAGCTCACATATCCAGGTTTGAATGCAGCAGTGCTAATAAACTCTGAAAAGTGAAAAAATGTCAAGCAAACCATGTAAACCGCCCATTGCAAAAATGCATTGTAATAAATCCACGAGGCATCATTCACTAGAATAACCCAGAAGAGTAAACACAAATGTGCAGCCATGACAAATCCAATGCCAAAGGCAGCTACTGCCACTTTTCCCAATCCGACATCCGACGTGAATTGACTCGAGACCATGGCTGTCTACCGTCAACTTGTTGTGATCTTAAGTGCGTTAAACGCACCTCAACGGATTTGCCAGTCCCACTACATCAATCATTGACCAAATTTCTTGCTCATCTTTGCTTGCACCTCTGCTGTTCATGCTCAATTCATACCTGTGAATGTACAGAAGAAATGCGTAGTATTTGCTGTTGGAACTGTCATAGAAGAAATGGAGCTGAATCCGCAAGAGGTGCCGCTACATGTTGAAGTGAATCATGTGGATTATGTATATATGAGTAAGTTTTGATGATGGGAATAGAGTTATTACTGGGATAAGCCAGACTCTGCTTTGGCGCCTGTGACGACAAAAGCGCTGCACTGGAGCTATTGGTCTTGTGTCAAGTTGTTTGAGGGAATGGAATTCGGTGGCGAGATCATTGCAACATTTTTAGGTCTGACACGGTCAAAATACGATTGGATTCTTGAAGCCAAAGAACGTGAGGAGCAAGAAAAAGCTTTGTGTCAACTTGAAAAGCGACAACGAAAGCAACTACGATTGAAAGAGCTTCTTGAACAAGAAAAAATCAAATTGGCGGAATTGGAACGAGGATCTGCAAAGAGTGACGAGGAAAAAGCCGATATAATGCTATAGCGAGATTAGCATTCAGCTTAATTTGTGTAGTCTTGAAAGCTAGTCAGTGTTGGGGCAATTAAGCAAACAAATATTCCAAGTATTCCAGTTCAACAAAAACGCCGAGCAATATCATGACAATAGCCAAACCAAAGATAACTTGTGTTCTGCCATGAATCTTCAATTTTCGTTGGGATACTTCATCTCGTTTCACGTCTTGCATTGCATTATGTTGTTCTCTGTGCAAACGATGCTTTAGAACGGGTCTAAGGCTAATTTCTCGTAAAAGTCTCGCCTTGAGACTCGAATCTCTTTTCAACAGTGAACGTTTGGATCGTTGAGGTCTTAAGTCAGCTTTACGCAACAATCCATGTCGTTTACTCGATTGAATCACACGATTCCATAGTGCTCTGTCCTGATATCCATCACTTCTTGCAGCATTACCCATTGACTCACGAAATTCACGTGAGGTCTCTTTAAGTACATCCACCACACGTCGCTTTGCATCTCTCTGCTCCTTACATGGTGATGATTCACGCGTACTTTCGATACTTACATCGATATCTTCAACGGAGCGCGACTGCATTTGCATCCACTCGTGCTCGACGTCGCAAATTTGAAAATGCGCGCGCAATTCGCTGATTGGCTCCAGAAATGAAACCGTCAATTTTGAAATAGTGCTATTCCAGATGATGAGTTTTATTACCGACAGTATTAATTTTTATAACCGAATATGAAAAGTCGCGTCCTTTAGGTGTGCGACAATTCAACATGCGAGCACTAGGTATCATGACTCTTGTAGCAGCAGCAATGGCTCAAAGAAGCAAGCAAAATCACATTGATGTACTTGCATCTAGCCAGGAGGAACTATCTGTCCTGTTGCATGCTCAGCAGCTTGTCCAAGGTCATTTTGATGATGGCTCTAATCAAGAACATTGTATTGTTGATACTACACAATTAAACGAAGAAAAATTGAAATCTCGCATGGAAAAGAGTGAATCGAATCCAGTTGTATTGCTAGAACAACGTCGATATCGAAAGACGATTGAAAACAATGGCGTACCTACTTATTTCATTGTTTGTGATGAAGATCCAACAAAAAATATAGAGTGTGATGATGATACAGTGATGACCGAAGGACAAACAAGAACAGATATCACTCTACCACATATGAATCTTGGAATGGCAGGAGTCGTTGTTAGTATTGGAGTAATTGGCTTTTTGCTTTGGAAAATGAAATCTCAACCATTTGGCGATGCAGAATTACGACAATATATTTTAGGTGGTCAACCATATTTGTCATAATAGATGATGTCTTTTGACTTCTATTTTGAAAAGATCATATTGCATCTATTTGATAGATAGTGATAGATTCAATCATATTTCTATGAGTTTTCTCCCACGCCTTCAGATTAGACAAGAGTTCAGATTTCCATTGTCTACTTGGTGGCAACATGAAGACTACAATTTTGGCTACGACTATGTGTGCTCTTGCTATTGCTGCTGATGTCGCTCCTTCCGCTGGTGTGGTTGATACCCCAACCATGAAAGAAGCTGCTGATGGACAAAATATCCCATCGGAACACTCTGATCAAGAATGGCGTGGTGGCGGTCGGCGTGGTGGTGGTTGGCGTGGTGGTGGTTGGCGTGGTGGTGGTTGGCGTGGTGGTGGTTGGCGTGGTGGCGGTTGGCGTGGTGGTGGCTGGGGCCATGGTTGGCGAGGTGGTTGGGGCGGTCCTTGGTACGGTGGCGGCTATTACGGTGGTGTCTGGCGCTGCGGTCCTTGGGGCTGTGGATGGTACTATTAGCCATCGTTATATCTTTTTGAGTAAATAATCTCAATCAAACTTTTTCGTCAAATTTTTCGTCTTTTTTCAGTTGACCCGTCCAACAGCATTAGAATAACACGCTTGATGTCGTTGGAACGTCTTGGTATAAAAATCATGATGTGATTATTGAAAATGGGTAATCTTGTGATTTCTATTCTTTTTCAAGTTGGTGAAACACACCATGAAGGTTTAGGAGGTTTTATGCCTCTGGCTAAATGCCCCAATACATGTCCCTCAGTATCAGAAACTTCCAAGTATCAAGATGGTTCAAGCTGCCTAACGAAAGGGTTCATGCCAAAAGTATCGTGTGATGCTTGTAAACGTAAGAATAAATGTTTTCGCTACTCTTTTATGCCCAAGAAAATACACATAAACAATACTATGGCAACATCAGTGTCGAACAAGACGAATAGTATGAAAAATAACTAGATTTTCATCGACTTATCTGATAATAGGAACATCTACTCCATCAATTACTCCTTGCATTGTTCCAGCAATTACATTCCCTATTGAAGTCACTCCTAGCTCAAGTAAGCATTCATCTCACTACAATATTTTCATCCTCATAGCAATCTAAATAGGACCTTATATAAAAGGTATTGTGACTTTTGAACATAGTGTATTAGATAAGCTCATTAGAAAGTGCCTCGTATAGAATCAGCAACAATGCCAGTAATGCAACCAAAAGTATATGAATCTTTGCCTTGAATCATAACAAATACTCTAGGCACAGCAGACAAAGACGGAATTACTCCAATGCATCACAGCTCAGTAGCCAATCCCTCAAACGAACTCTTGTCAAGCAATGCACTTGCTGGCATAATAGCTGGTTGTGTTGTGCTTGTAATTCTTTTTGGTATTTATTACTGGAAGCGAAGCCATGAAGAAGATTCAAATGGAGTTTACAATCAATCGATTCCAGCAGAGAGCGATGATAGTGAATGTGATTACATTGCCATGTAATTTATTATTTTTACACGCCTGGAGGTCGAATTTTAGGATCACCTTTCATCCATCGATCTGTCACTTCATCACTGATCTTTTTGCCTTCTGTGTCTTCTTCTGTAGGCAGCAAAAGCTCTTTGAACATGTGCCTATTCTTCTTTGCTCGATCAATATCGGTCTTGTACTTCTTTTCCTACACTGCAATCACCACAAGGCATTCGAAAGACATACATACAAGCATTTCACGCTGGGAATCTTCATCTAAAGGCTTAAACACCGTAAGAGCAATGGCTGTAGGCACAGTGAACATAATGCCCCAGTGCAGGAGCATCTTGTAGATTTTGACCATCCTTTGCCAATTACAATGTCATCCACCACAACATTTTATTTACCTCCATATACAAACGTCAAGACATCTTTAAACATTTCAATAAAATCACGCCATGATGTTCTTTGGTGGCCGCCGAGCATGGCCAAGAATGACACGCCGCATGAGTTCTCTCGTTGAGATTACACAGGTATGACAGCTATCTATAGGCTATGCATTGCCACAGCTATGTATAAGGAGTAGCCCGTGTTTAACCTTGCATTCAGGCACCAAGAACAGCATCTTGGTCGATTCATGAGCTTCAGCGTCATGAAAAAGATGTCTTGACAGCAGACACGGTAATATATTCATGGCAATAAAGATGCTGTAGCTTGTGTGTTTAGCTACGAAACTTGGCTGAGCTCTGCCATTTGCATATTCCAAAAGAAAAATTTTCAACTTTGTTAAAGGAAGTAGAAGACATTATTCAATGCACGAAAATCATTCAAGTATCAGTTGTATTTTGTTTTGGTTTTATGAAAATATGAAATAGGAAATCACGATTGATGAGGATATTGATGATTTATATGCATCTAGTGCGTTTGGTCAACGTATGTCTATCAAAAGATTTTTTTTATGTATTATGTATGGTATAGATCCTGCTCCACTTCGGCAAGATGTGTTGGTCGAAGGCAATGTCCCTGACCAAGTGCTTGCGAATGCTGCAGTGAAGAATGGATATTACTTTCAAGTGCCAAAAGTTCTTGAGGATTAAAATTTAAAAACACCTTGTTCAGCGAGGAATTCTTCAACATCTACGTACATTTTGCTATTAGAATACAATCGTTTGGATAAAATGCATACCTTCAACACGTGTGTTTAATCCCTTCAGTTTGCTGAGAGTCAACATTTGAGTTGCAAGATTTCCATTCTTGTAGCAAAACAAGGTTGGCAAATTTCTACAATTCAGTGTAAATATTTACAGGGAAAGGAGCATGTTTACCGTGCTGGCCAATTTTCAATGCAAACTTGCGATTGAATAGACACAAATTTAACATCACGATGCTTGACAGCAACAGCTCGCAAAAGTTGATCCATAAGCTTGCAACCTTCGACACTGGATTCCCACAAATAGGCTACAACCCAGGATTCCTTGCTTGCTTCTGTGACTTCACGTGTCCATTCATCCTTTGAAATTGGTTGAACATCACCAAACTTATTTCGTGCAGCCATTGCTTTCATTTCAGCAATACGCTTTTCACTAAATCAAAATAAATAATAATCCCTATATCTATAGCTTACCGAATACGTTGAAGAGCTTGATCTTCATCATAGTCATCCTATTGTACAGTCATTACAATGCCCAACATTCCATTTGACGTACATCCATTTCATCAAGTTCATCTAAAGTAGCATTTTCACGAGGATCTTCATCATCAGAACTTTCAACTTCTTCTTCCACAGGAGCTTTGTTCTTTGGAGCAATGATGCCTCGTTTGATTAGAATGTCTTCCCATTCTGTTGTTTCTCCAGTGCCCGCGTATGTCTTCGTCCCTCGGTCCATTTTTCTAAAAATGAAAATGACTTTCTTCCGGATACAATAGAATGTATATCATTGAAAATAGTGTTACTTCTACACATTTTGAGTTGGTACTAAAATAGTGTTATGAAATTTAAGAGTGTCATAGTGATGGGGAAGAAGTCCAAGGCACAATCACGAGGATGGAAGCCACAATATACATTTATATGCGCTGTGTTTCTTGTCATTCTTGGTCTCTGGAGCATGCAAAAGAAGGTTGATAGTTATACCTTCAAAGTTCCTTCAAAAATGTACAAATTACCAAGTGATCCTCGTGTTCATGTTTTGGGTTCATACCCTCATGACAATAAAGCGTTTACCCAAGGCTTGCTTGTTGAATCTCCAGGCATTCTTATTGAATCGACAGGGCTTTATCACCAATCTTCCGTTCGACGAGTGAATGCTACGTCTGGAGATATCCTAATGCACTCGATACCATTTCCTTCCGATGCATTTGGTGAAGGCATTGCATTAAACCATGTAAACAATACCTATATTGTTTTAACATGGCAATCCCAAAGGCTATATGTCTTGGATCGTGATGATTTTCGAGTACTTGCTTCCAAACGCTTTAGCACAACCCGAAATGAAGGTTGGGGTATCACAATGGTTGGCAATGAACTTGTTGTCTCCGATGGATCCGATATTCTTCACTTTTGGGATCCTAATACTCTACAAGAAATACGACGTGTTGCTGTAGTCAATAGCAACAATCAACAGGTTCTTTCTAGTAGTATTGCTAGATGATTTCATCAGGTTATGATAGGTGAGGTTATTGAATGAATTGGAATATGCCCATGGATATATCTTTGCCAATGTTTGGTATACTAATACAATTGTAAAAATCAATCCGACAACAGGACAAGTTGTACAAAGCTACGATCTTTCAACTATTTGCACCAACACAAACCACGATGCAGTACTCAATGGTATCGCTTATGACGAAGTTCACGATGTATTTTTCGTCACTGGAAAGCTTTGGGATACAACATTTTTGGTCAAGCTCAACTAGTAAATCTAATATCGATATGCATTTCATAATTCTACCATTTAAGTCGATTTTTTAGATTTCTTGGCCTTCTTTTTAACATGTTCCTTTTCTTCTTCTTCATCTTCTTGGGTATTTTTTTTTGTTGGAATTGAAAGTGTTTGTACCAACGAAAAGCTTCTTGTAAATGGTTTTCCAGGTACAAATTTCTTTCCTTCTACAGTTTCTGGTACAAGATTCACAAGTTGTTGTGTCATATTTGAATCCATAGTTTTCAATGCATAATCCTTGTTTTGAATTTCCAATGGTACTTGTAGTGATCCATTCACATCTTTTGGTAGTTTAAAGCTTAAACCATCTAATACCGAAGCATCCATCTATATCCATTCATTCAAAATTCATTTTTTCATTGCATACATACATCTTTAGGTAATCGAAATAGCCATAATTCACGATCAGAAGTCAATGTATCTTTCGTAATAGCACCACCTTTAGCTACGTGAAAGCCTGGTGGCAATACAAACTCTCTACAATCCTCATTAATATCATACTCATTACATCTTCATTACTCTTCCGATTCGTAGTCCGACATAATGTTTTCAATGTCCAATAACTCAAAACGGTAAACCATCCATTTTCACAGGCAAAACCTTTAATAATTAATATCGTTTTTGATTGGATAATAAAATGAAATTAATCAATTTGAGTGGTCGTGGACGAAGTATGGTTGGGAGCCAACCAAATATAGTTACCAGTTCGTGCCAATTCAATTGCGAAATTCTCCTCTTTGCAGTGTTATCAAGATGGTATGTAGATCATGAAGAAGATAATGGAAAGCTTATATGAATCATAGTCCAAGGATAGCCAAAATGTTATGCGTGAAATCAAGGTTGAAAAGTTGGTGATCAACTGTTGTGTCGGTGAATCCGGCGATAAGCTCACCCGTGCTGCCCGTGTGCTTGAACAACTCACCGGCCAAAAGCCAGTGTACTCGAAGGGTAAGTTAAACCTCGAGTAGGGAACCACAGTGCCTTAACGGGCCCGGTTCCCGGCCACGACTATGGCAACACTTACTCATTAAGTTGAGTAAGATGCATGCAAAAGTGTGGTGTGACTGACGGCCTTTCTGGGTGATTATATATTATATAATTGCATCCCCGATCGCGCACGAAACCATAGCACTCGATGGATGTTTTAGTTGCAATATCGGGCCTCACTCTATCGGAGGACAAAATGCTAATTTTTGTTGTGTATAGCTCGTTACACCGTCCGTACCTTCGGTATTCGTCGTAATGAAAAGATTTCGTGCCATGTCACCGTTCGTGGTGAAAAGGCCCTTGAAATCATTGACCGTGGCCTTAAGGTCAAGGAATACGAATTGAAGAAGCGCAACTTCTCGGATACCGGTAACTTTGGTTTCGGTATTGAAGAACACATTGATTTGGGTATCAAGTACGATCCATCCACTGGTATCTACGGTATGGATTTCTTCGTCGTCTTGACTCGCCCTGGTATGCGTGTTGCTCGCCGCAAATTGCGTCAAGCTCGCGTTGGTGCCCCACACCGTCTCCGCAAGCAAGATGCCATGAACTGGTTCACCCAAAAGTACGAAGGTCTCATCATGTAAATGAATTAGTCTCGTAATTCTGTCTTAAGAACACTTGAGGAGTTTACTATCCTATTATCTATTGTCTTATTTAGCCATTTTCTTTAGACATTTAACCATAGATCTTATAGTCATTTTCACCCACATAAAATGGCGGGTGAACCCATTTCATAGCGCGCCAAAATTAATTTATTTAAATATATGACAGTTAGTATACCCCAAATGAAAAATTATTTATATACGTTCATTTTTGAACTTACCAAGATGCGAATAAGTACTCTCGAGAGCGTCACGATGCACCCGCCAGGAGTTGGGGATTTAGCCGTACTTCCAGGCGGAATTGCAGCTACCTGTGGGGAGGATGGCTATGTAATGTTCACAGATCTCAAGGAACTCAAAGAAATTCGCTCCATGCGCATTGTTTGTGACGATGGGACGATTCCAACGATCGCGGTCAGTCCAGAGTCAGAATCTAATGGACAAGATATCTATGTCACGACTTCAGATACGTATGTTATGAATCGATATAGCCTTGGACCAAAGCCAACGTTTGAAGGGTGTGTCTTGCGTTGTACTGAAGATATTAAACATGTTCAATGCTCCAAGAGTTATGTTGCTGTTGCAAGTGAAGACACACAAAGTCGCGTTGTGTTTCGAAATAATATGGAGAGGTTATTGCTTTTGGATGGCCATAAAGAAGTCGTCAAGAGCATTGCAATTGATCCATTGGAAACCTATATTGCATCGGCAGGAGCAGATAATACTGTACAAATATTTGATATCGCTAATATTGAAGATGATACGGTGGAAGTGCCTCCACTAAAGAGTATTCCACTACAATATCAAAGTGGAATGAAAGGCGATGAAGTGTTGTGCCGTATTGCATGGCAGCCTCTTTCAGGGCAGCTTTTAGCAGTTCCTATTCGAATGAATACGCTTGGTTTATATGCAAGAGATACTTGGGCTGTCGTGCATAAATTGGTGTTCCCAACTGCTGAAGGGATATTTAATTCAGATATCAATGCAGTGGCATTTTCAGCTAATGGCCGATACGTAGCAGCAGCTTCCATGGCAAAACAGGTCAATATACCATTGAGTCAACCATGATATTCATATTCTCGATAGATATTTGTGTGGAATATTGCAACTCAAGATTGCATAGCAGTTTACGATGCTGATGATACCATTCTTGGTATTTCGTGGCTTCTTGATGCAAATGGAATTGTTAGCTTAACTTCTTCTGGCACTGTTGGTTATGCCAAAGAAATTGTATCCGATTCCATTGAAGGTGTAGCAGTGTCTACTTCTACAATACAAGCTACAGCAAAAGCAGTAGCTCCTTCAGAGACTACACCACCTACTACTACAACTGAAGCTATTAAGCCAACTGCTTCAAAACCAGTGGCAAAACAACCAAGGGAAAAAAGTGAAAACCATGAAGATGAACATGAAATGCAAGTAAATGCTATTAAACGCAGCTTTGGTTTTGACGAGGACATGACTGTCTTGCCAACAGAAGCAACAATTGATGATAGTGCACCAACTTCGCCAACTGCAACCAAACTATCAACTCATGTATCTCCATTAATGTTTGCCAAACCCCTTTCATTACCATATCAATCTGGCAGTGTTATGAGTGGGCCAGTGTGTTTATTAGGATGGTCTCCATTAGGAGAAATTGAACGTATGCCATCAACTGAAGGGTACCTTATTCAAGTAACTTTTGCAGACAAGAATCGTCGTGGGTTTAAGTTTACAGATTCTTATGGATTTACCGTGGCTTCTTTTGATGCAGAAGGAGCATTCTTTGCTTCGCCAAAGATTTATGAAGAACCAAGTGTGTTATTTTATCGTCGATTTGAATCGTGGGCAGCTAATGCTTCGTGGCATTTAGCTTTACCCACTGATGAAGAAGCTCGATGTGTTGCAACAAGCAACGAGTTTTGTGCTGTAGCCACTTCTCTCAATGTCGTAAGAATTTACACTACGGCTGGAGTTCCTTACGGTGCTTTTTCTCTTGGAGTTCGAGTAATAACGATGGCAGCCAGTGGACCCTTTCTTGCTGTTGTTACTCAAACTACACGAGAAGCATGTCTTGAATTTACGTTGTATAAATTACCATTTGAACGCTTAAAACCTCGAGTGTCTGTGGTGTATCAAGGTCGCTTGCCTCTTTCACCAGAAGCAGAATTGAATTGGCTCGGGTTTAATCAATCACACATGCTATTTGCCGTTGATTCCCTTGGGATGGCTCACATTTTCAGCTCTGGAATGGGAAATCAATGGTCTCCATTAGGATCACCAGGAAGACATATTTTTACCATTGGTATTCTTCAAGATACGCTCTTGTACATTCCTCTACCTGAAGACATCACTGTACCACGTTTAGCT